TTATCCGGACAACCGATTATCCGGACAACCGATTATCCGGACATCCGATTATCCGGACATCCGATTATCCGGACATCCGATTATCCGGACATCCGATTATCCGGACAACCGATTATCCGGACAACCGATTATCCGGACATCCGATTATCCGGACATCCGATTATCCGGACATCCGATTATCCGGACATCCGATTATCCGGACATCCGATTATCCGGACATCCGTTTATCCGGACATCCGATTATCCGGACATCCGATTATCCGGACATCCGATTATCCGGACATCCGATTATCCGGACATCCGATTATCCGGACATCCGATTATCCGGACATCCGATTATCCGGACATCCGATTATCCGGACATCCGATTATCCGGACATCCGATTATCCGGACATCCGATTATCCGGACAACCGATTATCCGGACAACCGATTATCCGGACATCCGATTATCCGGACATCCGATTATCCGGACATCCGATTATCCGGACATCCGATTATCCGGACATCCTATTATCCGGACATCCGATTATCCGGACATCCGATTATCCGGACATCCGATTATCCGGACATCCGATTATCCGGACATCCGATTATCCGGACATCCGATTATCCGGACATCCGATTATCCGGACATCCGATTATCCGGATATCCGATTATCCGGACATCCGATTATCCGGACATCCGATTATCCGGACAACCGATTATCCGGACAACCGATTATCCGGACAACCGATTATCCGGACAACCGATTATCCGGACATCCGATTATCCGGACATCCGATTATCCGGACATCCGATTATCCGGACTTCGGATTATCCGGACTTCGGATTATCCGGACTTCGGATTATCCGGACTTCGGATTATCCGGACTTCGGATTATCCGGACTTCGGATTATCCGGACTTCGGATTATCCGGACTTCGGATTATCCGGACTTCGGATTATCCGGACTTCGGATTATTCCGGAATGTTATTTAAATTCAGAATCTAACTTTGGTATCGATCAAATGGACCTTTTGTCGAATAACATTTTTCCAGTTATTCGGACTCCGATTGAATTATATGATTCTTGATTCTCTAGAAATTATCTAGAATATACCTTATTTAGCAAAACAACGTTTGCCGGGTCAGCTAGTATATTATTATTTTATTACTACACTTACACTGTAAAACTAGTTCTCAATGCTTCGTTCTCCAAATTTGAAATTTTTGATTTTAATAGAAGAATTTCAGATTGCTTTTCATATAAACTATTCTTTAGCTGCTCAGTTCGGGCCTATTTGGAAAGTATAAAAAAGTAAATAGAACAATATGTGAAATCTATCAGTGTTTGTATACCTGATACATATCTAATTTTCTATCATCGTATTGTCCATCACTCATTCTTCGGTCCATATCATATTCACAAGAAGTAGTCATTTGTAATTTTGAATCACCGTCCTGTAAAAGGTAAAGGATTAGAAATATTTAGTGTTAAGTTTTCTATAAATAAGTTGGAGGTTGAAGGGTAGTTCGACGTCACTAATATAAAAAAGATTTTGATGAAACATGGCACATATTGTTACTGTACCTTACTAAGAATGTGACAAAAATTTAAATTCGGAACGTTCAATAGTTTTCGAGATATGCGTGGTCAATGGGTCGCTGGCTCCGCGCTCAATACTAACATTTAAACAGATGGTATGTTCTCAAAAACACATATTGCGATTTTGATGGAACTTGGCACATATTGTTACTGTACCTTACTAAGAATGTGACAAAAATTTAAATTCGGAACGTTCAATAGTTTTCGAGATATGCGTGGTCAATGGGTCGCTGGCTCCGCGCTCAATACTAACATTTAAACAGATGGTATGTTCTCAAAAACACATATTGCGATTTTGATGGAACTTGGCACATATTGTTACTGTACCTTACTAAGAATGTGACAAAAATTTAAATTCGGAACGTTCAATAGTTTTCGAGATATGCGTGGTCAATGGGTCGCTGGCTCCGCGCTCAATACTAACATTTAAACAGATGGTATGTTCTCAAAAACACATATTGCGATTTTGATGGAACTTGGCACATATTGTTACTGTACCTTACTAAGAATGTGACAAAAATTTAAATTCGGAACGTTCAATAGTTTTCGAGATATGCGTGGTCAATGGGTCGCTGGCTCCGCGCTCAATACTAACATTTAAACAGATGGTATGTTCTCAAAAACACATATTGCGATTTTGATGGAACTTGGCACATATTGTTACTGTACCTTACTAAGAATGTGACAAAAATTTAAATTCGGAACGTTCAATAGTTTTCGAGATATGCGTGGTCAATGGGTCGCTGGCTCCGCGCTCAATACTAACATTTAAACAGATGGTATGTTCTCAAAAACACATATTGCGATTTTGATGGAACTTGGCACATATTGTTACTGTACCTTACTAAGAATGTGACAAAAATTTAAATTCGGAACGTTCAATAGTTTTCGAGATTTAAACAGATGGTATGTTCTCAAAAACACATATTGCGATTTTGATGGAACTTGGCACATATTGTTACTGTACCTTACTAAGAATGTGACAAAAATTTAAATTCGGAACGTTTAATAGTTTTCGAGATATGCGTGGTCAATGGGTCGCTGGCTCCGCGCTCAATACTAACATTTAAACAGATGGTATGTTCTCAAAAACACATATTGCGATTTTGATGAAACTTGGCACATATTGTTACAGTACCTTACTAAGAATGTGACAAAAATTTGATTTGATATCAAGAAATATTATCTATGAATTTACGATTGAAAAAAAATAGAATATATTGAAAATAACAGAAATTTGGGACAAATCAATCATAATCACAGATTGAAATCACAGGTAAAAAATAAGAGTTTCGAGAACATATCAATGTTTGACTATTCCCTGTGAGTTTGACTATTCCCTGATGCGAATATATATTGCAACAATACCCCGAAAAGTTATTACATTTGAAATCATATATGAGATCTATAATCTCAAGTGAAAATCAACCTGGCTTGGTGGGATCGAACTTGGTACCAGAGGCTGCTAATCTACGTTCTTGTCACGAAGCCATAATCTCTAGATATAATAATATTGCATTATTTTTATTTTGAATACTTACCTGTACTTCGTTTCGTAAACATAATAGTCTATGTCTAGTTTCGGCATGTTCTTGTTTCTCACGTTGAAGTGATTGGTGAGTGCTCAACTGCACCTCCATCATTTCACTAAGGCGCTTTCTTGCATCTGCACATTCGGCTAACAATGCGGAATTATGCTGATCCACGCCTTCCTATAGCAGTAAAGATTTTTTCAATTTAAGCCATTTGTGTGAATATGTCTTCCAGTTATATGACTGTTACCATTTTGAATTCCAGCATCCTAGTCAATTTAGCCATCTCTCTTCGTCTTGCTGATGAATCACAGTGCTTCATTTTTTCATCAACAAGCATTCGAACACAGTCCACTATACGTTCTCCGAGATGCGAGTGTTTCCGTTCAAGGTTTTCCAGGGCCTGCTGAGCGGCCTGAAGCGCCTCTCTGCCTTCATTTTGCTGCTCCGTCAGTTCCCGTACTGCTTCGACATATCGATTGTAAGAGTCACAGTGTTCTCTGAGAGTAATGTAATGAAAAAATTGAATAAACTAAGTGCAAGTGGCATTTTGTCTCAAAGCAAGTTGCATGAACTACCCAATAGGTTTAACAATCGACTGAATCAATAACTATCGATATTTACCAACTTCATCATTTTCAACTATTTATTTTATAAATAACCAAAAACTATTCAAAGCGATTTTCAATTGATATCTTCCCTCAAACTTATAAATGTAATTGTGTTAGTTATAGTGCACAAACACGTGCTTGTATGTCCTCAATGGCCCATTATTTCAAACTTTAATGAAATTTGTATAGCTCAATCAACTTTTGTAGGACTATAATATTTTAGGATGTTCGTTTAGTTATCCATACAGTATAAATATAAAATGTATAATTTTCTAAGGCTTATGCTTTCAGCATTACCAAAACCATGCCAAAACCTAACTCCATTAATCACGTGAGGTTTCTAGTGGTAGGGGGGTTTGACAAAAAGATCACGAAATATCACGTGGGAGAGGGAGGGGTATTCGTAAGATATCACGTGTGTTTATATTTTAACTGATTTTTTTCAAAAATTCAAACATTTTCAAAAAAAATAAAATTTTACAGTAACCAAAACACACGTGATGTTTAGTGGGGTAGAGGGGGGGGGGTAACTTTGAATATCAACATGTATAACCAAGGGGGAGGGGGGTCAAAAAATCCTTTAAAATTCGCTCACGTGATTAAGAGTCGCCTCCGAAAGGGGACGGGGGTCCAAAAATTCTTATAAATCAACCACGTGATTAATAAACGCCCCCTTAGGATGTCCGTTTAGGCCAGTGATTCTCAACATATAGTATAAATTGTAAAAAATGTGTAATTTTGTTTTATTCGATTTGTGGTCGAAATATGCTTAAGCTTTCTGAACCTAATCAGTATTATATTACTAAAACCCAATTTTCATATTTTTCCAAGAAATTTTTAAAATCGATTTACGAGTTTTGGAAAAAACATTAATGAAAAATTTTGCACTTACTTGCAAGTATAAAAAATTGCTTTGTTGATTGCTGTTATTGCGTTAGTTTCAAAAACAAAAACAAATTTTTTGTTGTTTCATACAAATTGTTTAATTCGATTATTTATTAATTCGATTAGTTTATTTTTGGGACAAAATAATTATTATTACCTTCTCAAAGATTCAACATTCGAATTATGTTCGCGCTTGATTTTTGCAATCTCATTATGTTTATCATTATCAATACATTCCATTTGTTTTTGCAAATCATATAATTTTTTTTCTACCAATTCGTAGTTCATTAATTTTCCTTTCGTGTCAGCAATGCATTGCTCTTTACATTTCAAGTCCTATTTAAAAGAATATCTATTTATTAAAATCAAATAAAGAAAGTATGTTCATATTATTTTTAAATTAACCTCCATCAATCCTTGAATTTCTTCATTACGTAAATTAACTAACTGCTTTTGTTCTTCTAAATCAGCTTTAAGTTGTTTAAAATCTGCTTCTGCTTTATCCGCGTAATTTCGATATTCTTTAACAAACAAAAAACGATTTTGAGCATAAAACATTTTTAACACATATATTTTTGGATTATAAAACGGTTTTTAATAAATGATATAACATTTCATACCAGTTTTAAGTTCGCTGAAACGACAATCTTTTTGGCATAACTCCCACATGAGATGTTCATTATTTGATTGAGTAACTTTCATTTTTGTCATCATTTCACAATTTTTTTCCGTCATTTCAGTAACTAACTTAGTTTGAGCAGATAATTGATCCAAAATTCTCTAAAAAAATATAGATCATCTATGTATATTATATTATAAATTATAAATATAAAAATTTTAATATAAATGCCTCCTTTTCTTTAGTCTGCTCATTTAATTTTTCTTGGAGTTCTTTTATTCGCTCCTGAGTAGACTCTAAGTCGGATCGTAATCTATTTCTATCAATCCTGAGCTATATATTATAATAATATAATAATATAGTTTCAGTAACTATTATTAATTATAAATATTATTATGTTCAAATACTAATGTTTGTATATGTAATTCGTTAAAATAATGATTTATGTAAAAAACCTCTTCAAGATCCCGAGAACTGCATTTAACAAAAAGTTCTTGACTTGAATTCTGGCAAGGGTTAAATCCATTATCTTTTGAAAAATTGGTACTAAAACATATTTCAATTTTAATTTATAACAATTATTTGATAAATAATAAATATATAATAAAATAAATAATATAGACCTAGTTTGACTCATGTGGAAAATAGAAATCGCAGGAGTTTCACTGACACATCGGCATAATTGCTTCACACCACCAAATGCACTAAGGATAATAATAATTAATAATATAATATTATATAATCATATATTTATATTTAGTTAAATATATAAATGTTCTGACAACCAGGAGATACATAAATAAAAGTTTTAAATTTATATAAAACTCATACGTTTCGACAGAGATCCTGTTTAAAGGACCTGGATAAGTTTCTCAGGAATCCGGCTAATATTTGATTTTTTTTTGTAATATTTGTAATAATTATAATATTGCAACACTATTTTATTGGGTAATAATTTCAAGAGTTTTATTTATAATAAATTGATATTGATGTAACGCTTGTTCGCTAGATCTTTTAACACAAAATACATCAGCATCCCCGATGTATTTATATAGAGTAAAAATAATTTTAGTATTAAATAAATATATAAATTATAGTAATAAATAAATACTTGTCTTCAAGCTGCTTGACCCCACAAGTACACATATTAGTTTTAACATCTGATCGGTTTATATTAAAAGTTGATAGAGCTGGGTAATTTACAACATCTTTGTTTGCTTCAGCTATAGGAAGCGGATTTGTAGTTTGTACACTAACATTTCTATAAACACAGTTAATTATTAACAAAATGTTTCAAATGCAACATATAATTTATTTAGTATTTAAATACTTTGGTAAATATTCCTGATTTTTCCATAATTTATGTTGGGCTTCCGTTAATTCGGCAACCTTCATATTAAGTTGATAGCATGTTGTAACCTGATTTTCACACTTCATACGTTGTCTTGCTGCTCTCTGTTTTAATAATTCTATCTAGAAATAAATATTTAGAAAAAGTATTTTAATCAGATAATAACTAGGTGTTAGTGGCATTTTGCCTCTAAGCAAGTTACTCGAATTTTGCGATCCGAACAGAACCATATTACAAATGTAGAATATTACAATAGAAACTGAACACATATTTTTATAATAATATTAAAACCTTGAGCTATTGAAGTTTATTATAAACAATGGCGCAGACGATGCGTCCTGCAAAGTTCATTAAATTATTAATAACTACTTTGAAAAACTTTTGTGAAATTCTTAGATTCTTTTAATTTGTCTAATACATATGTATTTTTTTAAATTGCCTGAACCACTCTAGTTCTTCTTACTTGGTCGGCTCTTCTTGATAGTAACATGTGGTCAGATAGCGCGCGCTTTAAAATACTGTCCGGAGTTGTTAAATAAAAATAAAGAATTTCACTTTTTTATATACATATATATTTATTCACTGGGAATGAATGGTTGAAGGTTTTTTTTTTTGGAGCCCCACTGACCCATTTATTGGTAGGGGCCTATCAAATGTTATGAGATTAGGAGATAATACAGAGTTTTTAACTCTGAATGCTGATGGAAAAGACCAGCAAAACTAATTATATTGTATGTGGAGTTGCCCATCACTTGGCTCTTCCTATTGATTTTTAGGTTACTAATTATTTATTTAATGACAATTAAAATAATTAATTTAATTTGCTCATCAATAGAGTCCTGTTAGATAAATATTAATAATAAAAATCTATCGACTACAGATAAATCAAACGTTTGGTTGCCACCTAAAACCAGCATATGGAAAAGTTTATAGGAGCGTGTTAAGTTGCAATTGCTGTTGAAAAATGAGGAAAAACGTGCTAAACTTAAGTTTACCAATTATTAAAATGTTCAATGAGTACCAGCAATTTAATAGTTTCAACAAATCTCAATTATTTTATATATCAGTACCTGATTCAGTAAATGAACTCTTTCTTCTAATAATCCATCACGTTCTAATGCCACTTTCATGTTCTGAGCAGTAAGTTCATTCAAGGCTTTTTTGTCAGACTCATTCTGAAATAAATAAAATTTAAACAAATTAATGTGATGTTGACATACACAAAATTTGTAGTAAGAATTTACTTTATGCTAACCGGTGCTTTTAAAAATAAGTGAAAATATCATGCTATAAAACGTTAGTCTACTGCGACTGCAGAGAATAACATCATACATGAAGCACTTCTAAATATTTATTACCTGGCGTATTTTTTTCTTGGTTTGTTCCTTTAATTTTGCAATAATATCTGTTAAAGCACTCTTCTCCTCTGATAATTGTTCAACTTCTCCACATAATGCTATTTTTTCGACATTGTCTTCGCTGAGTTGAAGAGAACATTGCTGCATTCCTGAACGTAGTTGTTCTATAGCTTCATCTCGATTCAAAACTGTATTCCGAAGCTGGTCACAAAGCTGCTTATTATAAACTGCTACTAACTTTTATTAAAAAAAAATATTAATAAAAATTTCAGTGGTAATTGAAGATCTTGACAAAAACTCATAAGCAATAAAAAAAAATTCAACAAAAACTTAACACAACCCTTAATATTATTATTGGAGTTTGTTAATTCTTGTTGGATTTTTCGAATATGAATCCAACATGGTCATTTGATAAGAAATTAAATTTAAATCTTAAGATTATTTAATTTATTAATTTATCATATAAAATTTAAATCAATTATTATTTACTGTAAGACGATTATTCTCCCGTGTAATATCAGTCACATTATCTTCTAATTCCCTGATTCTTCTAAGTTGTTCATTGAGGTATTTTTGAGCATTATCTAAAGCACCTTTACTAGTTTGCAACATTGATGATGATTGGCATTTGAGATCTTTAACAAAATAAAACACGTTAACACATAATTACAATATGTATTTAATATAGAATCTTCATATACCTTTTAGTTCCTCATTTTCCTGGGTCAATTTATCAATGCGTTTGGAAATTGTTTTCAAATATTCTGCGTGCTCCTCTTTTTCTTTATTATACTAAACATTTGAAATACTAGTAAATTTTGTATATTACTATATAATATAAATTTATTAATTTTATTTATTTTATTACTTGTATTTCAATAGTCTCCTTTTCCTTTTCCCACTGCTTGGCTTTCTTTTCATATTCACTTAAAATTTTCAGAAGATTTTGCTAAATAAAAATGGTTCAATTAGAAACTGCACAACATACAATAATGATTTCTTATTTTCACGACCTTATTTTCATTTGAATAATTTAATCCGCATAAGAGAAATCATGCATGCTGATATACCTACCATTTTTTCATTTGTGATTTTCAAGTTTTCCTTATCTCTAAGCTTTTCAGATTCATCAATTGCAGTTCTAAAACAAAAAATTCAATCATTTACGAGCACGTGGATTTAAATATCAATATAGTACATACGGTTTGCCTAATCCACCATCCATATCTTTTTGTTTGATAAATTCATCGTTAATTTTTTTAATTGTCTCATGACATGTACTACAAACGTTGGCAATGATACTATTTATTTCCTAAGGATACATAATTTAATAATAAATTAATTTTAATATTATAAAGGTATTATTATTTCATAACTACCTTTCTTGATTCCATATCATTGCAAATAGAACCTCTATTGATTGTGGAACTTAATGTGCGCAATTCCATTGAAAGTGTTCCCAAAGCCAGGACGGGATCGTGAACAATATTTGTTTGAACTAAATGGGTCATGTGGTCCATCTGATTAGTGTAATCATGATCGATTCTTTCAATCCAGACTAGAAAGACATACATTTATTTTAATAATATTTTAGTAATAGTTAATCAGAATATTTCATCAAATCATGAGCTGGTTTTCCGATGCTTTGGGTAAATTTCTGCAACAAATCTTTCATCAAGCTTTTTTATATCAAATCACATGACCTTTATCATGCTTATACTTCCAATACATAAATTTATATTTTGCTTAAGCTTATAGCAAAACAATTGTCTAAAATTATTATGAATATATTATCAATATTTATAATTATAGACCAACATTTTAAATATTCGTTATCAGCATCCAACTTCCTATTCCGTTGCTGTAAATTTTGAACCATCGCCGTTAGTTCCGTAATAGCCGTTTGAAGAGTACATATATAATCGCGCAGCTCCTATAAAAAATTATTTAAACAATAACATATAGTATTTTGATAACAATTTATTAGTACTTTAATTTTCTTCCTCAATTCTTCGTTACGCATAACTATTTCTGCCAGCTTGATATCTTCTGGATGCTTAGAGCTTTGTTGCTTTTCATTTTGACCATCTTTATATGATTTATCTTGTTTTAAATCTTTTATTTGATTGTTTAATCGTAAAATTATTTCTTTATAATGATTCATCTAAAAAAGAAAAAATGATATAATAAACATTTGTTAAATTCAACCATTTCTTTTAAAGCTAGAGTAGTCAATATTTAGCTGCGGATTATAACCTGCTGTTACTACTTTTCATATTATTTTTATTAGCTATAAATACTTTTTAAATATATAATTATATTATTAAAATATACAAATAAACTACTTGTATTCTGTTTGAATCAATTTGCTCCTTCAGCATTTCTTGTTCAGCCCGCGAACTTTCAACATGAGCAGTCAACATAACTGCTATATGCCTTTTCAAATTCTCACCTTTAAAAATAATATTAAATAATATATATCAATTATAATAAATCAATTAAATACTTACTTAATTCAAGAGTTGTAGTTTGGTTTTTCAAATATTTTGTCATTGCGCATAATATGAATTTTTCACTTTCTTTCACAAGATTAATTTGCCCCTGGACGCGAACTAAGCTATCGTCCATCATAGATTTCAAATGGCTATAAACAAAGAAATTAGTACAAATAATATTTATTAATTAAAATAACCAAGAAATAAATTAATAAAGCAAAAGCAATTAATTTCGACTGGCACATCCTAAATTAGGTTAAATTAGTTTAATCAATATAATCCGATAACTGTTCTGAATGATCTTTTAGTTCGAAGGATGATACGGAAATTCCTATTAACGGTAATAAATATCAGTAAACATCCATTTTTTACTAATATGCCATTTTTGTTATATCTTGATATTGCATTGTTGATGCTCTTGATATTAAAATTAATCCAATATAATAAATTTTATTTACAGGTAAGCTGGAGATTCTAAATTAGGAATAATATCACAATATTTCTCGCTCCGATCCGATTCCAAATTTTCTGCTTCACTTGTTGAAGGTAGTTCTTGAGTTTCTAACCGATGACGATTTAGTCTAAAATAAAATAATTATTTTAAATTATAATTTAATCGTTAAAATTAACATTAGTATTACATCATATTTGTGACTCGTCTCGGAGGAATAACTTTATCATCACTTGTAGAAGACGGTGTGGCATCATTTTCTTGATAACTATTTTTATTATTGTTTGCATCGATATTGCGAAATTTATTAGAATTACTGTCCAATCTGTAGGCGAATAACTTTTGAAATAAACTAGCATGATTTCCAACTTCATTTGCTGTAAATTATAAAATTTTATTATGTCCATTTTTCGAATGTGAAGTTTTTGTACGATCACTTTTTACTTTTAGGCCCAACGTGGGGTAATGTATTATATTTTGATTTTTCTGCCGGTTTTGAATCCTTAAGCCATCGTGCTAAATTGTAGAAACAAAATTAATCAAATAAGATATACTAATTGATTAAAATTAGTAACAAAACAATAACGTACCAAATATGCTACTATTGCTTCTCCTGCAATTACTTTCCAAGTATTTCTAAAAATAAATAAAAACTATAGTTAAGAGATTACACAATAATTCTAAAATGTAGCTCTTTGATAAGTTTGGTACAAAGTCTCTACGTAATGCTAAAGGAATGCAGTATTTTATATTTTTATTTTTACTAACAGAAATTTCATAATTCAAATATAAATTACGAACCTCCGTAGTAGAAACAATTTTTGTATCTTCCATTTCAAGATACAACAAATAACACTTAAATTTTTATACTTTAATATGCTTACAGTAAATTTAATTCATTTATAATAAAAAATAAATTGATTTGACAAATTATACTAGTTAACTATTAAATAAAAATGCAACTTGATTAATAATATTAAAATGCATTTTGTTTTCCAGCTTTGTCAAATGATATATTACAATTATAACTTTATAAAATACTTATTATAATAATGCTTTTAATATATATTTCACATACAATTTTGAAAGGTAGTTCACACGAAATCTAGAAATTATGAAATTAAATTATTTAAAAGTAAGGAATGAATCACATTATCATTAGATTTATGAACACAGCATAAGCAATATCAATTTTCACAACAACACACAAACACATGCAATTTAAATTAAAAAATTAAAAATAATTTCAATAAGATAAAATAAGATTTTATATCTTTGATTTTAATTATTTTGTGAATAAAGTAACACTGCTTGGCTTCATATTTTATATCTAGTTTAATTTTTCTGAACATAAGCAAAATTTTATCAAATAATCTTGAAAATTAATCACATATTTACAAAATTATATGAATGTAAAAATACAATAATAGAACACAATGATAAAATATATTGAAGAAAATCAGGCACTGATCACAGAACATTTCTTAACCTATTAACTGGGTAAGTTGCTTTTTAATTAATGCAACTGTAAGCTTATAAGAATATTATTATTTGAGTATTTTCTCTTGAATAACATATATCCAAAAAAATGAAGTCGTGTTTTACAAAATATGAATATATTTGCATTCAGAGCTCTAATAAATAGGCAAATGCTTCATAAACTCTATGTCCACAATAATAAATAATTTTGATAGCTTGGGCAGTCAATAACTATATAATTCCGTATATAAGTTTTGCACAATGCCCTAACAAAGTGTATGGTGTGTGTGCAACAAACCCAATCCTAAGCTCAGTCCCAAAGTTCGAGTGTCTATTGGAGGAATCTGATTTCTATTATCAAGAACATTCCTTGATTCTACGACCCTTTCAACCATTACTGATGAGTTCTGCTGTATATCAGAATTTTCAGCAGTTTGTACAATAACAGGTATTGTAATTAGTCTATTTTGATCCATCGACAAAACTGTGTTATTTGTGATGGTACTATTAGTCATTGTAATTGAAGTACAATTTTCTTGTAATGTTTGAGTTGATGGAGCTATCTCACTTGTAGTTTGAATGTGAGATTGCTGATTTTCCACAAAAGTATTGGGTAATAAATTTTTGTTATCAACAAGTTCTGAAGAGGTACCATGTTTCTTGATGTGTCGAACTAAATCGCCTTTTTGTGCATAGGCAGTACCTTTGTAACAAAAATAAATTAAAGGTAGAAAATAATGGTTCATTAATTTTAATATCATATACAAATCGATTTCAAAATCAAACTATGCCTGATATTGAATTTATTAAATATACTTGGCATGACATTAATACAAATATTATATTATATTCAGCACTTACTGCAAATGTGGCACTTATGAGGCTTCTCTCCTGTGTGAGTCAGCATATGACGTGTAAGATGGGAGGACCTTGACATCCTCAACCCGCAAACTGTGCAAACATATGGCCGTTCTCCAGTATGCGTCCTTTGGTGTTGAGTTAAATCTCCTGAGCAGAATAAAAATAAATTTTCAAAAATCATAAGAACATCACACCGTATAACAATAATTATGTGTAAAATTTGAACTTGGGAATCAAATGATGAAATTTCATAAATGGAACTATAAGTATAATCAATGATTTTCCTGGCTCAAAGAACTACTGATTTCATGAAGAAAGGTTATATGTTATAGTATAAAAATATGCCCTTTGCTTAAACTTAATACTAATTTAGTATTTCAATTACTATCTTCAATAGAGCGTGATATACCAACCTTTGGTTATAAATGCTCTATTGCAAATGCTACATTCAAAATTCTTCTCCCCAGTGTGTTGTCTGATATGATATTGCAAATGTCCAGGTGTTCTGAAAGAGGATGGGCAAATATCACAGCGATAAGGGGTTTCTCCAGTATGCAATCTTGTGTGGGCAACAAGGCCTGCACTTTGAGCAAACCGCTTTCCACATATCACACACAATAAGGGTTTTTCGCCTGTATGAGTTCGTTCATGAACTTTTAGATTTTGAGCTAAAGCAAACGTTTTAGAGCAATATGAACAAGAATAAGGACGTTCTCCAGTGTGTGTGCGCATATGCATTTTTAGGCGGAATCTGAAAAATATATAGATACAATAGAAGTTCATTAAATTTAATATTTGAGATATTACATAATAATAATTCACCTAGATGAAACTATTTTTCCACAGGTATAACACTGATTATTTCCACATAAACTAACATTATTCAAATTAAGTTTACTTTTTCTCAATAACAATCTTTTTTCTTTTTCTTCCTGCAGTATTTGGATCTTTGTTTTACCTTTAGATTTGATTTTTGATTCATTACCATTTGCAGCATCAGAAATATCAGACTTTAAAGCCTTCTCCCGATCTTTTTTCTCCTTACGTTTTTGAGCTTTTATTTCTCTTTTTTTTATATCTTCTAACATTTTAGATTCTAAAAATTTCTTTTCCAAAATTGTGTCATCAACATTCAATAATGATTCATCTAAAACTTTTTTGCGACCACGAGTTTTATTAACCTTAGAACTTTTTTCAATATCTTCACTTGAACTCTTTGTTTTAACCGGAGTATCAACACTTTTTCTTTTCCTAAGTATAGGACTTGACTCATCTTGTAATTGTTCAGGAAACTTATTATTATCAGCTTTATCTCTTGGAGTTTTTATATACTCTGGTTCACTATTATGGCAAGAATCATCATTTGCAATGGTAATATCGTCTTTAACAATACCATTGATATCATTTGATTCAATTGAAATATCAGGCTTTACATTAGCAAACTGGACAAGAAAATCATTCCTTAATTTTTTATCAGACTCTTCGCATTGAAGTTTGAATTTATAACTACTATCTAAGCGTTTAATGCATTTGAGACAAATACTTGAAGGCAAATTGTCGTTTTCTAATATCTGTTAAACAAAAACATATATTAATATCATATCTCATATATTAATTAATTTAATTCATTACTTGTACTTCTGCACAAGACATTATTTTTGAACTGATCTGTTCTGAATTGTGTTCACTGAATATCGAAATTAATTTGCCATGACCTAAGCACAGTCTACAAATTTGATTCAAAGCCATTATTTGTATACATTTAAATTTCTGATAACAACAAATTTTAAATATTTATGATGCCATGAATACCATGCTTATGAGTAAAGTTTGCAATGTATTGTCAAACTGACAGATGTTCATCTTAGATAAGTTCACAGTGTTGCGCAACCAGTGGTATCAACATAACGGAAACATCACAGAAAGGAAATTTATAGAGAAAACCGCGGTAAAATGGTAGTTTTTTTTTAATTTAATTAATTGTTTCATTTAATGTAAGTAGTTATACTAATTAGCATATTTTTCATTTTTATCGTTTTATTCAAACAAAATATTCATAGTTTATTTATCAAATATTATATAATATATAATCCCAATTCATTTTAATAAATAACCCTTATGTGTGTTTTAAATATCTTTATTTATAAAATATTAGCGTAGCTACATGATACGTACGTATAACTAATTTAATTACATCAACGCTTTTGACTACTTTGACCACCTTTAATAATTAATAAATTTCAGATAATATTGCGTAAGTTTTTACTAACATGTTGCGATGATAAGACGATACTCCAAAACTAATCATACTCATTTAACAATTTTCTACGTTTTTTAGTTCAACACTAATACATACTTTGTTTGTAAATACATTACAAAAATATTTTTTACTTATAAATCCTACTATATCCATGCTATATCACAAAATCTTGTACCAGGAGTACCAAATACAGACAAAGTGCAGATCGCCCTGTTTTGTACAAAATATTTAACCCAGCATTTGTGCAAATCGACGATCTAAGCCACGAATTAAATCTTCTGACATGTGATTTGTAAATTTGCCATAATTCATAAAATGTCGGCCAATTTGTTCCCAATCGTAATCCTTTGGAGGCATTAGATCAGGGTGATATCGTTTGAGCCATTGGTCGTAAGTGCATTGTTGAGCTATGGAACCATAATTATTTCATTTAATTAATATTGTTATGTAAATATAAAATGTATATTTATTACATCTATGTCGTTTTTTATAGCGCTTTATATAAAGTGACCATAAGTCCGGAATCAGCCTGGACATTCACGGTTTTCTACTTTGCGTTTTAGCTCCATCCGGCCCTCATCAGCATAACTACAAGTTACCGTTTCGAATTTAAAATAAAAAAATATGGTCACCCTATTTAAAGATTAAAATGATTATTATAATATGATCAATTTAGAACAATTAATATTGAATTTCTCAAATTGTAAATAAAACTGATCAACGATATTTAAATAAACAGCATGCTGAAAGTATAGCATATTACGTACATTTTTATTTATAAATTTTATATATATTAGTTTTTGGTATATTTTGTTAATAAGATAAACTATAAATTTATACCAAAGATTATTTTCTAATAATACTTATTAATTATTACTTTAAAATATTATACATACAACTTGTTCGATCATCGTCACCGAAATCGTTGAATTGACTTCCTCTAGGTGGACGTGACGCAAAAGCCTAGAATTTTTTTTTAGAAGACTGTGTAAAAAGTATTTTAATATCTCAACTATATAAAATTTACTTACCACATTTATTAAATATAGAAATAATAATAAAATTGGCATTATCCTATTCATTTTATATGCCTTTACGTGATGTGTGGTCACTAAGTTTAGCCTTAAGAATAACTGCTCCTCTAAGCTTCTGCTGGCTTTTATACAAATTACAAAACACTATTTATTATACATAATTTTTCAATGACGTGTTTGTAAATTAATAAATAATAACAATAATTCTCATGAATGCCAATTGATCTTAATCTTATTTATATCAAATCGATCAAATAAAAGTATTAAGACTTTATGTTTATACAAACTATTCCTATTGCATTCTTGCCTTTTGTGGTCATATATATATACAGTTATTTAGTAAATAATTGCTGAAAATTAAACACCTGACTAATGACAAATAAATTTTTGATTTAAACACGTGTATATAAGCAAGTATAATCGAACATTTCGGTAGTTCAGGTGCGCACAAATATTTATAAATATTTATAAATAGCAAGTAATTTGTAAACAAATTTTGGATAAGAATATAAAAATCAAATCAACTAAAAAGAAAAATCGTCATTCTTATCAGTATTCATAAATCATTTTAATTAAATGATTAATTATGATTAATAAGAAAAATGCTAAATATGTAATTAAGGTTGCCAGTAACTTCAAAAGCCTCAAAAAGCCAAAATATAATTCAATGTCAAATCCATTATTTTTTTAAAATCAGATCAATAAAAATAAGTTTGAGATGAGAATAGTTTAGACATATTAAAAAAAATTAAGTCCATATAAATAATTATTAATTATAAAATTACTCGCATGTTTAAATTTGTGGAAGATTTCTTTAATAAAATATCCAATAATAAAAATGGTTTCTATTTTAAAAAAATACAGTAATCTTTAAATATGGTTCAACATATGTAGTAACATAAATATAAATATGCATCTGTATACATATATATTATATATGTATATATATAATTAAAATAACAATTCTCTAAGTGATGATAAACTTTAAATTTTTGATCATTTTATAAACCGCAATAACAAATTATATTAAAAAAATTAACAAATGAGTTTCATAAACAAATTTGCAAAAATAATAATATTTAAATTAGATTATGGCAATAAAAATACATCATTAGATTTGGCTGATTTTCAAATCGATAGTAAATAGATTGCTATTCAATAGAAATAGACTTTATTTAGAATCATTATTAGCTAAAATAACAAAATAATATAAAAATAATTCTCTTAACTATTGTATAAAAGTAACTGATCTTTAGGTAAAAACAATTAGGTAGATTGAAGGTTTAAAGCATTTCTATACAGCCCTGCAAGTGACCTCGCTGCAAGTAATATTATTTCACGTCTGGAAACACCTGTAAGTGCTTTATGCCATTCCGTGTGATGAACCTGAATTAAAAAAATGTCTCAGTTTTGATATGAATATATATTTACACATATTTTTAATAATTATTACTTGTAAATTTTCAGCCATAAGACTGCCAATAGTGACACTGAAACCGCTATCCTTATACTTATAATCAGGAGGGGTTTCTTGGCTAATAGCTGTAACAATCTGTGCAGGTAATGGTGTTCCTTGTGAACTCAAGTGCAAGGATATGCCAAGTGATGGATGAGTTAACAGTAATAAAGACATATCATACCACCTACAATAAAAATTATATATATATATATATATATATATATATATATATATATCTCAAATAACTGAGCTTCAAAATTGTAAAACCAAACCTTTCCGGTCCTATCTCTTCTATATAATTCTCTACAGCCACAATTGGTATGTCAGCACCAACCCTGGGTTGGGAACGCAAAACACAAATGCGCTCTTTAGCTGCAGCCAAAGCTGCGTCCAACCCGACTGGCTGAGCAGCAATTGTGGTACATTGAGCTGGTAAGCCACTATAAAAAAATATTACACATAATTTATAAAATATGAAAGATTAATTAAACTTGCAATTTATGTTATAAAGTTATATAATAAATGCATATGTATGTTAGAATATTGTGTGGAGTTTCTCAAAAGTGCACACCTTACAGTAGCTTTACCAAAGGTCATCTGAAATGCTTCTCTAATTGGAGAAATTTTTACTTCTTTATCAGATGCAACAACTAATTCCAAATCACCACCAGAATCTATAAACAAAAGTTAGATATAAAATTATTACAAAAGCAATAAGTAACATATTTCGGTAATTACATATGAATTCCCTCATTTGTGGATCCAAGGTTGTTATCATAGTATCAACTGAGTTTTTTGCCTTTTCTGCAACTCTATGCAAAATTCCTCCAGTAGAAACAGCTCCTTTCACCCATCCCATAAAACCCGATCCAGGCATTAAGCTATTTGAGTAGCTGTTGTCACTTGAATCTTGAGATTCTAGCTTATTTTTAACTGGTTCACTTGATGGTATAGCAGCACTGTAAATTTTATATAATCCATTTTACTCAAAGTTTTCTAAGATGTTGAAAACAATCTTCAAATTGTTGTTTAAAAATAAAATGTACTTGTTTGAAGAAACATATATGGGTTCTTATTAGCCGTTATTCTATAGAACTAATTGATAACCTGGCTATTAAAATGTATCGAACCTAAATGTCGTTGAACTCTGCTTATCATTTTTAGTTGCTGCAGTAGAAGGAACATTTTCTGTTGTTGGAATTGAGCTTGGTTGGGTTGCTATGAAATTTGGCAGTGCAGATGGTGGAGCAACAGCTGATAAAATGTTTGAATTGGAATTTACAAAGACAGGGGAAGGTGTTAAAGATGAATCTGTTGACATCATGGGTAATCCAAGTAAAGAAGATGAAGAAGACAAACTACTGAATGCGTCTCCTGAAATTGAAAAAAAATTGTCGACATCATCAAAACTTTTCTAAGTTGTGATGCATGCGAATACCATGTCAGGAATCATACCTGACTTTAATGTATCATCAGTCTTTTTATCATCAACAAATTCAAAAGTGGACTCACTATTTGAATCGTCTTGCATCATTAATTTAATAAATAAATATTATTCGCCTGTCAAAATACTATCCTGACGATTTATACAAATACACTCTTACCAACTGAATGCAGTTTATTTTATTAAATAATTAAATATTTTATTTGTGAGTTGTTTTTAAGATTTAAAGAAGCAAATAATAGTAAAAATATTAATAAAATAAATAATAATACATTTTAAAATAATATTTAAACATTTCTAGTTCTAGAGTTTCTAGTAGTTTTCACTTTATTAGGTTTCCTGCATGACCGTTAAACTTGTTGAATCCATCATAACGAATCGTTCGGCGATTTTGTTGCATTTATTATTATTTTAGTTGGATTTTAGGAATATATATCTAGATTAAACAAAAATATATTTTTCCTGTAACCATGGCTCATAAAAATATATATTATTCGGACAAGTATTATGATGATAAATATGAATATAGGTGAGTCTAAGCCGACTTGTATTATTTTCCCAATTTTGACGTTTACATCGAATAGTATATTTGTATTTTGTAAAAGCATTATTGTACAAATTGAAAATCAGATAATTTGCAAGTTATTTTTGTTTATTTTCAGACACGTAGTGCTACCAAAAGAATTGGAAAAACTAGTGCCTAAAACTCACCTTATGAGTGAGCAAGAATGGCGTAGCATTGGTGTACAACAATCTAAAGGATGGGTTCATTACATGACACATCAGCCTGAGCCACATATTCTTCTATTCAAAAGATTAATAACATCACCACCCCCAGAATAAGAATTTATTGAAGGTTGTTAAGTTTGTATACAAACAAAAGATGTTTTGAGATGGTTTTATCTTCCGTGCCTATAAATTGATATTTAAAACTTCTTCAGGATAACTTAAGGAATATTTTAATTTCATATTCTTTTGTGAATTTGATACTAATTTTAAAAAAATTAAGCAACAAATATATTCACTTTTTGTTTGTGTTTAGATAAGGTATTATTCACTAAATACTTGTTGATTTAAATATATTTATTTAGTTTGTAAGATTTGTCATATTATAGTAACTTCCAGTGCCATGGTAATGTATTTTTCTATGTAAATAAATTACTTACTATATTATCTAAGGACTTTTCTTTGTTAAATGTTAAATGCATATACACATATGTATATGCGTCAGAAAGTAGATATTATCTAAGAACTTTTCTTTGTTAAATGTTAAATGCATATACACATATGTATAATGCGTCAGAAAGTAGAAAAGTGAACTTGAGTCAATTACGCCTTCCAATAGTAATAAAAAATAGTTCGAAATGTGTCAAATCACATTGTATATGTCCAAATATAAAGTAATTTGCTTTATGCAAGTTTTTTTTAAATAAATTTACAAGTTTTTAAATTATGTTACAAACATTCGATACATTAAACTACATTTATGTAAATACTTCATTTATTTTCTTTAGATAGTGTACATAACTAATAATTATTTATTATAATGCGGAACTTCAAATATTTAGAATATCAATAATTCATATATATCTATCACAACATTATTCTTAAATTTTGTATAAAAATATCTATTTTATCATTACGTACAAAACTTTGCTAAAGGTAATCACATGTTTAGCATTAGCGCCATATAGTAAATTAATGAATTCAATTCATAACAAATAGACTAGTTTAATCATATTATACTATTGTTGAGAAATAACAAGTTTGGCAAACTAACTTGAAGAATTATATATGTGTCATTTCATATTTAGACTTTTAATTAAAATAATATTTCATTGAAACAATTCATTCGTTTCACGTAAATATAACTTGAATCAATTTATTATTTCATATTAAATAGAATATTCAAAAGTAATGAATATCTAATACTTCATAATCCTATGAAGTATGATGCTTGTCAAGGAATATCTTTGCCTTATAAAAATTATATATTGATATAGAAACTATTAACAATACAACAAGAATTAGGTGATACCATTTTATACCACAATCAATTCCATTTAAGTTCAAAAATGAATGAAACGTTTTAACATTTTGATGTTCCGACAATTGTTCATTCCCATCACTAGATCTCAGATCATTTGGAACCACTTCACTATTAAAAATGACTTCATTTACAGTTATAACATTGCCATTCTTAGCTTCATTATTGCTAGATGTATCTGCAGGTGCCTGTGCAACTAATAATCTATCATTTAATTCTTGAGGATTCAATAGTAAATTTTCATGGCTGTTTAAAACACTAGTTGATTTTGGTGAACTATTGCCGCTAGATTGATGTACCTGTGGAAAGCTGCCTAACAATATTGTATGAGGTGTTATAGGTATTTTCAATATAGACCGGGCAAATATTTCATTTTCTCTATGTATGTTATTCAACCTTTTCAGCTCTTCAACCTATAAACATAAAAATGTGTTAACTGATAACATTATTATGGAAAGGGGCAGTATGTTGTTTTAGAAAGTTTATATAGAACCAACTGAACATATTGTTGCTGTTGCCCACATGCAAACCAAGAAATAATTACACATTTTCAAGTCAACAATTTACAGAACATATTTGTGATATAAATAAAATCAAAAAATATATTCAAATTTATACATATTGAATGATGTGTATGCATATTATAACAAATTATTTAATAATGTAACTCACCGAACAATGAAATCTAAGAGCAATGGCTTGTAAAGTGTCTGTTTCTTGGACTTGAGCTTCAAGGACAGGCCTTTGCACTGTATGTGTGTTGATGTTATGGGACTGCTCATGCCGATAGCTGCTTACAACATTTCTTCGACTTGGAGAAGATCTTTCTGTAGGAACATAGGAATTACGAACTGGTAGCAAAGGGACACTATCAACTATGTTATCTTCCCAATCAGAGTACTGGCAGTTATTCATGTTGTTAAAAGAAACACTGAAATATCAATAAAAATATAAGTTAGTTGTAATAGGTTTATGGTAACTACCATTTATATATTTACATTTGCCTTTGTTTCATTGCAGAACAATAAATATAGTTTCATATTTGAAATAATACAACAAAATAAAATTTCTAGTTGGTTATTGTATATAAAAGGTGATACATTTTGATTCTTCAAACTAGTCAAACAATTTTAAAATGTGCTTAGACATAAAATTTATTGCTATGAATATTTATTGCTATGAATATAAATAAAATTGTTTTTCAACGTAGCACAAAAAACACGACACATAGCAACATAGATAAAACCAATTAATACAACAATTGACATATGCTGTCTGCCATAATTAGAAAAATATAATTTTTAAATAATCAGTGCTGCCACAACCGGCGATATGATTATTAAAAAGATCCAGAAAGGAAGAAATCGATTTTCAGTTCAGTTGTTAGTAATTAAAATATTTATAATATTTATATTCATTTTAGAGAGTTTTAATTTATTCAGTCTTATTTATTTCAAACTAATTTCGATACAAAGCTCATCTATGAAAGATTTAGCTATGGATAACTTGCTTCTGTTTGTTTGAGACCATTTTTGACAGTTAAACAGATTTTTACTTCATGATCAGCTAAAAGTTTCATAAAAAGTAATAATGGGTGATACAAATGACACTGGCATTACTGCCACGCTTTCTAACACAGAATCGATTAATAAATTAAATGAGCTCACAGAGTTATTGAAAATAGTAAAATTATACACTGAAGCTTATAGGTAAAAGATAATTTCACATTGTTTTCCTCTTTATTTGTATTAAACTAAGTTAATAAAATATTGCAGAATAAAATTTATAGAATGTGGCAAATTCATTGAAGATAGCAATTCAAGAAATGACTTGGCAAATGAGATCGCTGAAAATATGTATGTTAACATCAGCTATGATTTGAAAGCAGCTTGGAAGCAAGATCGTATTCACAAAAAATAGCTTTTGCAGGAGGCCTAAGTGTGGAGATATTAAACCAATTGCTAAATAATTCACTATTATAAACTGTTATATAAATCGTTTTTGGAAAATGAACTGATGAAAAAATTGAAAGATACTAAAAGTACAGAAAGCAAGGTGACACAACTATGTCAAAAATTAGATGATGTTCAGAAACGGATACAAATTCAGACTTTGAAACTTAATGCACTAAACGAAACAGTTAAGTGTCATATAGAAAAAACACGAATATGAATATAAGTATAATAAATTTAAATTATTTTATTTTGACAGTTTCAGACTGTTTAATTTTTCTTTTATTGCTCTTCTTTCACATTCAGCATCATGTAGACTTTTTCGAAGACGAATAAGTATTGCAGCATTTCTATTCTAAAATTTATCAACATTATAAAGAAGTGCTTTTATAAAGATTTGATATTATTTCAAATTTAAACATTTACCTGTAATATAGTGTGATACTTTCCATTTGACATAGTTTCAAATTCATATTGTCTTTTGAGTCTGTTGCTGCCTGTAGTTTCAACTTCAGATCTGCATTATCCTTATTAATCTCTGATAGCTTTTCTTTACCTCGCTTTTCTATTATATCCGTTTTTAATCTTGAAGAACATTCTATTTGATGCAGTTTATATTAAACTACTGTAATGGTTTTATACAAGTTTTAACATTATACCTTTTGCTTTATTTGTGTACTCATCAAATGATTCTTTAAGAATTTTTTGTTTAATTTCATTACTCGTGTTTTTTTCTTCTTCCATTGTTGCCGCTAGTTGTAGTTTCATTGTCATATACTTGAGTTTATGTTTTTGCAATTTTATATCCTATTGATAAAAACATTCTATTACTTCAATTTTATGTGGTACTTCGAGAAACAAAACATTAGAGAATTATTATTGGTTATTATATTTAAATGATTTTTGTGTTTATGTATTTATAATAAAACTTTTAAAAACAGAAAAATGCTTTATATAAATTAAAAACACATAAATAATCTTTAAATAATAAAACCAAATTGTCTACAAGCGGTTTCAAATGATAATTCTATGATGGATGTTTCCTTAAAAACTCCGAAAGCAAAACTATTTTAAAATAAGTAAAAATCAATGTAATATGTAAAATAGATTTAATATATAAGAAAAAATATATTACTTGCAGCTGTTTTTTTAATTTGTCACAATCAAAATTTCTATACTGTTCTTTCAAAATATATAATTTCTTTTCATGTTCAAAAATTTGTTTATCCAAATTCTCCATTTGTTTTTTTTCTTTTAATTTTATAATGTTAAAACTTTGGATATTTACTTTAAAAGAATTACAAAATATTGTAACTTATCTGATCATCACGAATTTTTAATTTCGCAAATTTCGATTTATATTCGTTATTTTTTGTTGGTGTCTTCTCTTGCATTGATGTACAAGTTCAGACTTCATACACAAGAAAGGACACTTATGGAGGACGCCATTTTGAGTGTTATCGAACGATAGTCAATTAATACAGTGAATTAGCGTTTTTTTTCATTTAAAGTAAATTGTAGTGAGTTAAAAACAAAAAGTGAACAAATTATAACTGCGTAAGTATATCTATATAAGTATTATTATTATGCCATCTGCTATAAATGCTTCTTTTGTTTTTACTTTATCTTTTGCCCTAAGCTAATACAATACTGAGCCGGTATTTTAATACTTCCTAGATTTTAAGTATATTTTTCTCAATAATCACACATGCTAATAATAATATTCAATATTGATATATTGTTAATACCTTGAATGTACCTTAATTAACAAATATTAAATTTTGTTTGAAATTGATGTGTAAGGTTAGAATAAATTTTTCGGTCGATGCTCAAATATTAAAATGGATTCACTTGATTCGTGTTCTATTGTAATAATTTTATTTTGAGACCGACAAAACAATTTAACTTGAATATATGAATTAATTCTAGTTGAATGTTGGATCATTTGGTATTGTTGAAAGGATATAGCAAATATTTTCAAAATGAGTTGGTGTTGTACATAAATAAGTTTCGGTTAAATACGTAGTATGTACTTAATGTAATTCATATGATATTCGTATATTCATATAATAATCTATATCATGTCAGAATTTTTGCGATTTTTGTTATATTCATGTCGCAAAGTATTGATCTTTATTTTCTCATAGGCATACCGAGAGGTTTATTAAATATTTTAACTTTTTTCTATTTGATTTTATTCATTTTACTATTAAAAACTTATTATTAAAGCCTGATCAAAATCTTTTAATGTTATGCATTAATGCATATTTAGGCATTTACATTTTTGCCAATATGTAAAGATTTATATTATTTCTTATTATTTTTGGTGTTTTTTTTTCATATTCAGGTATTGGTCATATCTTAAATCAAATCTGCTAAAATCTTAAATCAATCCTTCACAATAATTATATATGAGGTCTTTTGGTTTCCTATATTCTCACCAACATTACTGTTTCTAGAAATATTAGTAAAGTGAAATATTCTTTCTAAAACATAATCAGTCAATTCTTTTATTACTTTCAATATTAACTTTTCCCTAAACTGCTTTAAAACATTTAAAATGTATTTTTTGCGCCTAATTTATCTATCTATTGGGTTTTTGTTCGACAATTTTCTGTTCAACCCTTTGTGGTTTATTGGGTGGAGGATGGTCAGTCTGCGTTTTTACGACTCCGCGGGGTTGAAGTGGGGGGATCCTGTGATAGGTAACCACAAACACGCGCTCGTTACCAAGGCGATCATTTGTTTACGGTTGTGTTCTTATTCAAACCATTGTGTTCGGACAGGCAGTGACCATTTCGCCCCACAAACTCGCCCACATTAGTGGAAGGAGAAAATTGAAGACAACTTACCTATCTGTTATTAATGTCGATTTTTTATGTTCGGGGTATATAATCCATTTTATTACGAATATTTCGAAGTTTTACATGTTCGATGCAATATTTGTTCAGTATATGATTTAATATTTATTTGATTTTTTTGGGACCGGAAGTCTAAAATAAATATGATTTATTAGATAATCTCTCTAACTAAATTGTTTTTACTACTCCAAACTGGATGTAAATAATATTACATACGCTCATTTTACTGTTCATTAAAAAATATTTATTCCAGATGTTATCTCATTATTGACTATCAACATTTCACAAGCCTATATCACTAATGTGTTGTAATATTTTTATTAAAAAAAACTATTGCTTACACACAGTGTGACGAGCGTTGTGAAATTATATATATACATATATATATATATATATATATATATATATAAATTATTCAAATTTATGCAGTCAATGCGACAAATAAAAAATAACAAATAAACAATATCATTATTTATTGTATTAGTTTCGGTACCATTCAGCAGGAGAAAATCTTCAAAATATAAAAATTAAGTCAATACTAGATAATTATTAAATTTTTAATTTTCTGACAATCGTATTTAATCAAATAATTACTTAATACTTTGAAGATACTTAATACTTTCTCACACACATCTAGTGCCCTAACTAGTACTAAAAATAATTTTATTCTTATTTATTAATTCGACGTATTCTGGGTAGCTATTATGATTTTTAAACTTCTTAACTAAGATGTGATTTTTTTTACAATAAATATTTAAAGTTTTTTTAAGTTATTTTATTTGGGGATATGGGGATGTTTCCTTCTTCAGAAACTATTGATAACAATTAAAAAATAAATTATTTATTTATATACTTATTTAATTAATATAAAATTGAAATAATTCTCTTTGTGGCTAATGATTGCAGGAAATTGGCTAGTCAGTAAGGTAAAAAGAATTTTTTAAATTTTATGTTATTTAAGTGTATAAATGTATTTTTTGAAATTTGTTTTTAATATTTCCTCAAGAAGGGGACGGACATCCCATATTAAATGATTTTGAACATTGTAAATTCTTGGTGTGAGGTTTTTCTAAGTCCAAATTTTGCCATATGCATATTAAATGGTTGTTCTTATGGATAAATGGAAGAAAAATGACAATACTGAAGAGCAAATATGTTTCTATCGTGAAGTATAAAATCTATATTTATATAGGCTTTTCGATAAAAAAAATAATTCATTGCATGACTTTCTATTCATCGTATTACTTGTACCCCACAGTGGTTTTTAATAATTCAAGTTTCGTTACTGTAATAGTTTTGACATAAGACCTCTATTGAGCAGTGGCGTGCCTTCGCCACCCCTTACGGCTTTGTTATCCAACTGTTCTCTTCACGTTTAGTTCACCCGCTCTCCGATGATGAAACTCTAACCTGTAATTTATTTTCTGACGCACGACTTCTTCGTTTAATATTTTATGCGATTTTCTAGCAAACCGCTACATTATTTTCCAACTTGAGCAAATGGTGTCGATGCCTAGAAAAATATTGATTTTACGATATTATTTGCAAAATTAGTACGAATGATATTTTTAAAACCGCAATTGAATTATTTAGTGGGGGCATTTTATATATTAAATTGAATTACTGCCATCATATATTTATATATTTGCAATATCATTCGCTTTTTAGGGCCCGTAGGTGAGCGGTTAAGAGCCTCGGGGCCTGAATCAGAGGTCCCGGGTTCGATACCCGCTTCGAGCAGTCTGTTGTCAGGTAGCAGTGACAACGATTTTCACTTGGAAGTATAGATAGCAATATGTTTGCTACCCAATAAAAAGTCAGCCCTATTAGATTAATTCTAATAAGAATAACATAAATCATCAAATATGGATGGATTATAACCATTGGGTTATAATAAAAAAAAATCGCTTTTTGTTGTGAAATTGATCAGTTTCCTAAACTAACGCAGTTATCATACTATATGATAGTTCTGTGCGATTGATTATCGCTATCAAATAATCGATTTTCACATCGAATAAATTATCTTCGGCGTTAAATTAGAAAAATATTTTCAGTTCTAATTAAAATTGGTATCTAAACTATACTAAATACTTTGGTTAATTTCAATTTGAAAGTAAGTTACCCAGGGGGTGATTTTTGGACCTCTCTTCCTCCCTTGGTGGATACATAGTGGTATTTAAAATTGCCTCTCCCCTTCCCAACATTGCGAGTATTTTTTTGGTATCTAGGAAAAACGTTAATTTTTTATTTTTTTAATCGTTTTTTTTTTAAATCTCAGGTAAGGAATAAATACACGTGATATCTTACTAGACTTACTCCTCCTCCACGTGATTTTGTATTTCGTGTCTGATATTTAAATTCTATTATAAAGAATGCTGCTAATGTTTGCTACATTATCAACTTTTTGTTTTATATATAGTAAGTTGTGGAATTTTAAGCTGCAGAATTTTAAAACATTGCTTGTGGAATACGACGGCATTTTATTAATGCATTATTATACATGGGAAATAGTTTTACGAAGAAACGATATGTACTTAAGTTATTATAAATTTATGCTTGTATCATGAAGTAGATTCCTCAATACAATTTACTATTCTACTCAGCCCCTATTATTTGGAAATTAACCAGGATTAGACACTGTAATTGATAGATAATTTCTGGGAATTAGATTCTATTAAGCAGATGATACAGAATATATAATACTTTCGTTTAATATATAATTGCACTTCTGTGCGTTGGAAAATGTATGAAATGAAAGAAGTTTTATAATTAAAGACTTGCTTATTTTTTCAATAAAAACTTATTCAGTTATGGAACGATGAAATTTTAATGAGGTGTGTATATATCGAGCATTTACTATTCGAAAATAAATTATAATTAATGCATTAAATAAGTCGTACAATCAACATAATTAAAATAGTCATTACGGAAATAAATTTGTTAAATTATTTAATCAATCTATTAATTTGGATTGTGTTCAATTTATAATAGCGCGTTATAAATATTTTGTATCCTAATAATTGCGTTCACAAACTACTGCGTATATGGCTTGTTGTGCAATTGTGTAGCCATAGAAACTCATTTGATAGAAGTTTCATATATGCTCGTTCATAAATCATTAGATCACAAACTTGTCATATCGAAGATATTGACTGTATTAGTATACTTTGTTGATAGTCAGGGCAAATGTATTTCCAATACATCAAGGAAAGGGTCACTAGGCGATGCATAATGAAATGAAATATCAATCATTTTTGTAATACACGTAGTGTAATGAAATTAAATACTATTGTCATCAATATGCATAAAATATGTCATTAGGTAATAATGAAAATTTCGTTTATGGTAATTTGGTTATTATATTAATAACTGGACACATCGGTTTAAAACGAAAATGAAATTGGTTTGAGTTATATTGCGAATGTGACTGCTACAACTAGATATTATTTTAGGCCAATGTCCAGATTATTCGAAATAAGTTTTAAAATATAAATTATCTTTGTCTTATCAGTAGCTTATGCCAAATTATATCCTGATCGACTAATAGCGCCTAATGGAACAGAATATTTTCTATGTAATGCTTCCTTTTTTTGAGGGAATTATTATAACTTTCAAATAATTATTATTTATGTCTACTTATCAGTAGCTCATCGAAGCATATTTATGTTGGTTCAATTTATACAATTTTAATTTATA